TTTAAGGTGGTTGCGAGATCGGTCAAACCCATACAGAGATTAATTACTGAATATATCAAATAATATATTAAGTTTTTTCTAAGAAATGTTTGATAACTATGTGGACATTATAAAGCATATATGAAATTTCAAAATTTTTTGATGCATAAAAGTATTTTTAATCTTAAAATTAATATTACTTTGCATGATAGATAGGCAACAAAAGAAAAAATAGACATGAGAAAAACATTGCTTTACAAACCTTAAGACTTAATAAAAAAAAATCGATATTTTGTGTATGAAAGCATTGTAACGTTTGCTGATAATCAACCAAATTTTGTTAACATTTGCTTACTAATTTAAAAGTTATAGCACGAAAACTATAACAAGCACAAAATTATTATGAGGTCGGTCCCAGGGACCGAGCCTGTGCTGAAAGAGTTAAAAAGCAAGGAAATGTAAGCTAGTATTATCAGGTTTCTAAAGAAGATTTGTAGGTTTAGAGAATTTTTTCTTTCTCTTAGATTTAGATTTTATAGTAAAGTTAATGTTCATTCAGTGAAGTCAAAACACTAATCACCTAAAGTGTGTTCAAGATTTTGAAATATATTTGTAGCTTCTGGTCATTTGTATATTATTTCAACAGTATTTCTATGATAACTGTAGATATTTCCACTGAAACTGGTGTTAGTACTGCAGACATAAGTTCAATACTTGAACTTATTGGAGTTCTTAAGTATAAAGATGACATGTGAGTATTTTAATGTTTATTTATTATCATAGTTGTATTTTGATGTAGTTGTTTGAATAGGAATAATGGGAACTAACAGAAATGCAGCTTCTACAAAGCTTTCTAATTGTTAAAAATGAAATTGAAATACAAATTATATTTTTCTATTAATCTTTCTGTTTAATGAAACTATGATTAAGATTTTGGTTTGGTTATAGTACATAAGCTGGAGTCTTCAGTATTATCTGTAAGTGGAATAATTGTTTTAATTTCAGTGATCCATTGTCATAGAAGTTTTACGTTATATCTTCTTTATTTATGTTTTTATCTGGTAAATAATAACAAAACTACTCATGTAAAAAGTAGTTAAAATACAATAAGTTACTCTAATTTTAAAAAATTATGACCCTAATAATAATTACTGGTGGTTTTTGTAAGCTTGAGATCAAGGATCTTGTCACAGTAGTAATTTTAAGTGCTTTCTGTGTCAGACTTGCAAGCCAAAGAGAATCAGTTTAAAACTGAAGGTACATTGAAAGATGTACAGTGTATTGAACAGTATTGTAGAATATCTGTAAAATATGTGGTCAACTTATTCATTTATTTGTTTATAGAGAATCCAAAAAATGTAAACAGAAAATGTAAATTTGAATTAGTGACTTAGTTTAGAAGCATTTTAATCTTTTATTAAGCTTTTAAATGTTTTTGACAATTTTCCTGGGCTTGCTAGGGCTTACGGTGCAAAATGTACTTTTTTTTCTTTTTCATATCTCACTTGTCCAACTATGTATGTTGATTTCTACAACAGTTCATGGTAGATTTTTGTTTCCAGCTCTTGTAAAGAACTTTTATAGGTGTGATTATAAGTGTAACTTTTTTTTTCCTTCATTTTTTTATTTATTTTTTGTTTTGATGGCTAATTTCGTACTGAGCATCAAAATTTATAAAATAGAAAATGACTTGATACATTAATAGAAAAAGGAATTCCTTTATTGATGAAAATATGTGTGTGTTAGGAAATGTTTTTGTATGTCTCATATTTTTCAGCTTAAACCTGATCGTTGACAAGACATGGCTTGAGGGCTACATGAGAAAAGCTGCAGTCCGTAGGAATGAAAGATTGGAAATTGATCCTAAGTGTTTGAGGTGGATACCAGCGATTTCCGTTCCTTCCCTGACTTCTGAAATCAGTGAATTTGAGAAGGTGAGATAGTCATGTCAGTGAAATTTGTTATATATAGAAGTGTGTAAAAAGTTCACAACTAGTATACATACGTATAAATAGCAAAGCCTGTGAGGAATGTAAGTGTACCTTTTGAATTATTTAACACAGTACTAAAAAGTAGGTTAAACTAGTATATTTCAAAATAGGCTACCAGGAAGAGTATTAATATTATTGTATGGATGCATCAGTTGGAGTCCACCAATGGGACAGCAGTAAGTCTTCGGATTTACAATGCTAAAATCTGGGGTTTGATTCCCCTGCGGTGGACACAGCAGATAGCCTAATGTGGCTTTGCTTAAACAACAAACAGCATCACTTGGAAGAGGTAATTTAGTTTACTAAATATCTTCTGGTTTCAGTCCAGATAGATAAACCTGTGAAATAAATATTTGTATATATTTATGAATATATATATATATATATA